AGTGATCGTTTGAAGGCACTGAGGTTTTGTGGAATGAGATTGCGGCGTAAGAGTAAATTATAGCTAGTACGAACTCTGTTGGAGAAAAACAGAGACCTGGGTTTGGACCTAGCCACAGCGGTTGAACTCTTAGCCGAAAATAGCAGTCCATGCAATGGTATTTGCACTTCATATGATAATTCATAGTTAATAATGATAGTAGTGCTCCTGATGTTAATTGTGATTTTGCACTTGGGGATATTTTAAACCAATGCTGTGGTAATGGCTCTTCTGATTTCGATTTTCTGTTACGCTCTCAGTTCCTCTTAACGCCGATGTTCCGGAAAATGGTGGTCGTACTGGTCTACTAGTGATCAAATTCCATTTACTCTTGCACAGTTCTTCTCCCTATTTATCATCACAGTTCTTCTACCGAGCGTCGGCACTTGACGATATAGTCGGTCTTCAAATTGTCCCAAGTCATCAAGTTCCTCTTAATCGTCAATAATTCGTCAAAACTTATAATGAAATCCTCCTCATCGTTTTATAGATGCATGCCTGCAACTTGTACCAGGTTTTAGTTCCTATTAATTAAGCGCTACGCTATCTATTAACGCGAGAAAAAAAAAGCGCAAATGGAAGTAGAAAGAGCGTGCAAAAGGCACGGCACGAAGACCCCGTTACGCAGTGTTGTCTATGCAGACAATTCACGCGCGCAGTAAAAACGCCATGTTAACTACTGTTATGCGTTCAGTATTGTTCGTTGCGGATGAAGATGCGTGTCGCAGAGCCGTATGGCGCGCATTCGGCACATTCTCCATCAGCAGCTGAAGGGGGTAAGCGACATTAACTGGTGAAAATATAGATAGGAACGACATGATACAGTCTTGTCGCTTGCTGAAAGAAAGAACGGGTTGGTGCCGCGCCAAACTTATCCCCCTGAACACACGTCATCCGCAGCAAACAGCACAGTTCTGGAAGAGTAATTGAGTGGAATTGGAATACCTTGATATGTTTTCAGGTAACTCTCGAGGCTGGCAAATCGTATACGTGGTGCTCATGCGGGCTGAGCAAAATGCAGGTTGGTGTTTCCATTTAATATTTCTAGTTCTAGTCTATTTTTTTCTTCACTCCTGCAAGGGAGGTCGTTCAGGGCGTGCCCCGCTTTTTCAAAATGGTTTTTTGCACTTTGTAGGGCCTTGCCCATGAACCATAAAAGTGGGCTTCGTTTTGGCTGAGCGGCCCCTGGAATGCCAAAAAAGGAGCGAAAAAGAACCTATGGAAACTGATTGTTTTGAGCCTCTACGAGCTGTAAACCGCTTGAAACTTTGACCAGTTGCTGAATGGAGGGACCCTATAAAGGTACTATCGGAATCGAAAAGTAGTCGGGGTATGGGGTCTTACTTGTGGCACGTAATCAAGAGTGAACGGCTTCATGGAATGGTTTCTTCAACGATCGGACCAAAAAAATTTTTCGACTTTTTTGGGTGTGTGCGTTGGGTTGTGCCCGACAGTCTTTCTATAGAAGTCTACAGTGCCTCGCCATAGGGACCCCCTATTTTATTAATATCCAAAGATAAAACTAACAATCGATGAAATTCATGCAAAGAGGAAGGAAAGGGAAGTATTCGTCCAGGTTGGCTTGAAAAAAAGTTGTGGAACTTGAATGAGTGCAATTTCTGTTCCGGTAGGGGAGATTGACATCTTTATTGAGCGAGCAGGCGGCAGGAATCGGCAAAGGCCCAGGATGCTTTTCACGAATGCCGACCACTCATACGTTTGAACGACCTTCCTCGTTACTATTAGTAGTTCCGTGGCTTTACGTACAGATGGTTGATTTCTCGGCATGAGTTGTATGTCTGATGTAACATCCATAGATGAATACTCATTTTAGAAATCCGTAGTAGTAATCCCTTGTTCAGCATGGCTATAAGCCTTCTCAATACTTTGTAGATTTAATTTTTGCTCCACATCTGAGTCAGTATAGCGAAGACCTTCGAAGCCTAGAAGTCTGTCTATCGAACCGAATCTAGTCGGTTTCTACAATTCTCCAATTGCGCGTTCGATTTGTTTGTTATGCGCATCTTTTCTAGGACTTTTCTGAATTTTATTCCTATTATACGGAACTTCTTTTTCTGTCTTCTTTATTGCTATGTTACACACCTAAAATCTGAATGCTTGCGAAAAAGACTTCAAGTGCGTTCATACTTTACGATGGCGTTTTGAGCGCCTGTCAGCGCTTTGATGGTACGCCAGAAGTTTTAATCCATACCCATACTCGCTTGAGGCGCTGGCGGATGTTTAAAACGCGTAATCGATACCTATGTTTTTTGTCACTCATAACGCTCAAAATGCTGACGCCACGTATAAAAGCACTCTGACAGATGTTCAGAACGCTGATCTAAGGCATGAACGCACGCTTCCATTTGGACAGTGCTGAGGTATCGTAAATGTTGAATGTCTGTAGTCCAAGTTCACGGAAGGTTTCCTAGCGCTCAGGTCCCGACTAGCTGTGAAGAAGTGGCAGTCGCACGATTCTTCAAATCGATTGGATCGCTTGAACAAACCATGAACACGCCGGTCAATGGAATCTTTTTGGCGGGTTATTAGACCTAAAGTACAAGCGGTGCAAACTTATGGACAACCTCGCAGCTTTCGATGCTTCAGGGATACCTTGAAGCGCTAGTCAAGGTCACAGCGTGCTACCGCGAGTATTTCGCACATCTCACGATTAGTGGCTGAAACCTTCAATAACAGGCGTGAACTGAAAGATTATTCCTGCCCATCTACTGATGCACAACAATCTTCAAGCCAGAGTTCTCCAGTCATTGCCATGGCTATCCTGAACTGATGATGTCCCTGAGTGTGTTGTCGAATCTAAGAGATTTTTCACCACTCATTGATGTCTATGCAACGAATTAGCATGAACGATTTGACTGTGAATTGCGGTACTGGTCACTTTATGTTTTAGCCGTTTTGCGATGGCACTCACAAACTGGATGGTCTTACAAACGTGCGGCCCGTCAAGTTCCAGGTAACAATTTTCTCAAGGACAGTGTCATATAGATGTCACTTGCTGCGTTCTGTTTCATTTGTAATTGAAATTCAGCCTCATTAGCCCTATTTAAGGTTGAAAAAAGCGGCGAGTATGGTTTATGCAACTGCAAACAGACATCAACTAGACCAATCTGCGACGGAACCCATAAAGGGGTAAGGTTTTGAGCGAACTGTTCCTTTTCTCTCCTACGTGGCTCAAGAACATACATAAATAAGGCGGACTTCAGTGTACAGGAAGTGCCTTATAACTTCAGTTTGATCGAGCGTTTTCAAAAAACTGAAAGGCGATGAGCAACCATTCGCTTTTTTATTTGACGTGATGGGTTTCATTTCCAGGTAGGCTTCGCTCCAAAGGATTTGCACGCTACCCGAATGGTTATGTTCGGCGATAACTCGCCAGTATATGATGGAGTTGCCCGTAAACTTGGTTATAAACCGAAGAGCGGTGGTTTCCAGTAGAAATGTAGACATGTTCAGGTTTAGATTCGATAAACATTATAATTCTTGTTTTTTTCAAATGATACACGATCAGACAGATCGTTTTGAGTTTGTCGAGTCTCCTCATACTTCCTCTTGTGCTTCATCATTCACTTTTTTATTTTTCTGCTATGTTTTGTTTCTAGCAGATAATCTTCAATTTCAGCTATTTAGATAAATTTTATTTGAGCTCGTTAGAGCTTTTTCTGTAGACAATGTTAGTATTTTGTCCCTTTTGTGGATCAATGCTGCAGATTGAGGAAAGTGATTCATGTATGCAGTTTTCGTGCCCCTCTTGTCCATATATTTGTCCAGTAACTAAAAAGGTGAGTAATTCCACCCATTCTTACTTCCGGATTAATTATTGCTCATTTAGGTTAGCAGTCGAATATATCCTAAACTCAAGGATCTTGAGGAAGTCCTTGGAGGACCGTCAGTTTGGGACAATGCTCAGGTAAAGCTCATCATAAGTTCGGATATTTTTTATTCTACTTCTTATAGATATAGCATGTGTAAAGTAGGATATTTGAGCGAGGCGCTAGGGCGATCTGCTGAATGCATTTCTTGTTTTTCTCTTAACTTGCTCATGGATAAAACGGTAAAGCTTCGGCCGTTGGTTGAATGGTAGCTCCGATTTCACCTTCGTACAGAGTCGAAGTAATTTGCAGAATGGGGTAGGCCAATACGGTGACTTATGGGGGTGATCAATGTACAGCAATGTTATCGTTCCTGACGTTCCTGACGAGCTCTGTACCCTTTTTGGACCACAGGGAAAAGGAAAGCGCTTCGCCTGGCCGCGCCAGTCGAGACGCCCATCCCTCGTGATCTCGGACTCCCATACTGCACGCGTGGTAAGCTGTACCTCTCCCGCCAACTCTCACCTATGCAATGTTGGAATGCTTCCTGTTAGATAGTACCCAAAAACGGCTCACCGTTTTTTTATTG